TCGGGGTCTTTTTTTTACTCCAAATGAATTTTTGGAGGGGAGTAATTATTTAATGGGTATAGAGTTTCAGTTTCCAAGATAAAAAGTTGTAGAAATTTGTTGCACAACCATATGAATATACTTAACAGTACTGAATTGTACCCTTAATAATGGTTAAGATATGTAAAGTTTATGTTATATATATTTTACCACAATTTAAACTTTTTAAAAAGTTGGCTGACAGAAAGAATGGAAATATTCTAGATAAATGTCAGGATTTAAATTTGTGTTTTGTGTTTCTATATGGAAAAAAAGGTTTAGATATTCAATTTGGTTTTAAAAGTGTAGAGTATCTTATAGAAGCTAGTCCCTTCAAGCTTCCTAGCAAATGAAATATTAGTTTAATCCCCTGAACGGTAGCACCCCTGAGTATATCACTATGGGAATAACACAATTTCTATTTTTCACTTAGTTGTACTGGACCAGGACCTTCATAAACGGAGACCCAGAAAGGGGGATTGTGGGGATCATATTTCGTGGCCGATGTCGGCCACCAAAGCCCCACACCTTGAGCCACGTCCTCCCCCAGCAGCTGGGACCCAGGGCCTGTCAGGAGTGAGAGGGGGCGTCAGTCATAAAGCCAGGCCGGCCCACATCCGGCACGGCCAGGCAGAAGGAGCTCGGCACAGGGAGGCTTATTTTGGGAAAATGGAAACAAAACAAAGGCCTTTAATTGGAGCCATCTGGGGAGCACGGGCTGGGGGTGGGGCTGGAGGGGGCAGGGTGGGAAGCCGAGCGGGGAGTGCGTGGGTGCGGCTGCCCGGCCGCCTCGGGCATTGGAACCAGGTGGGGAGAGCTGCTGCCGGCCTAGAGGCGGGCACAGCAGGGCCCTCGGCTCTACCCTCTGCGGCCGCGGCTCCCGTCCTCCTCTCCCGTCCTCCTCTCCTGCCAGGGTAGGTGATGGGGACCCCCCATGACCACAGTGCCAGGCACCATGAGAGCCAGGCTGTGAGCAGGGCTGGGCCCATCCCACTTCTCTCATCTTGGGGCTGAGAGTCTAAACCCCAAATACGGATCAAGAGCGTCAAGCCTATTGTTTACCCTGGAGAGAGTGAACAGACGTTATCTGACATTATTGCCCAGGGCTTTGTGTTAAGAAGGATTCTGAGGTCTGGTCTGAACTGAGAC